TCTTCTTCTAGCTGTGAAAGCATAGTGTTTGTTAACTATGACAATAGTGGTGTGTTGGTTTCTGGAAAATGAATGGCAACCTGCAAGCATAGACAGTTAGCTGTGCAAGCATAGTGTAAAATTGGTGTATTATGAGTAAAGTATTTGGTCAGTCCATACTACCTGTGTAATCACTGGTTCTTCATCTAAGTTGTCATCCATTTGCTGTGTAGGGTCCTCTTCTTGTGGTTCTTCCATAGTTTTCCTCACAGGCTGAAGTTTGGGCCTTATTCCTGACTTCCTTAACTGACAGCCTGCTCTGTTGTGGCCTTGATCCCCACAGTAGCTACAAGTCATTTGCATTCCATGCTTTGACATTTTTGTTCCACTAGTTCCTTCTAATTCCACTGGTTCTTTTCTTCTATTCTTAGGAGGTCTGCCCACCTTCTTTTCGTACAGAGGAGGAAGCACAACAGGAAGTCCTTGGACCTTCTCCCAAATGGACTTGTCAGCACATGGATAGATCTTGGGACCATATGTAATCAGAAATCTTGCTGAAGTATAGCAGTCATGGACCATTTTTTCAGTGGGCATCCTTTCATGCCTTAGGCAAGAAATGGAATGTGAACAAGGTATACCAGTGAGATCCCACCTTCTATAGTCACATTGTTTCAGCCCAATGTTAACTACTAACCGATACCCCCTATCCTGCACCTGAAATATACCATGTCCAGAAGGTGCTACAAAACAAGTGTTGGCAAACTCTGAATTCTTCTGAACTTTTTTCCTAATCTTCGAGCAGATTGGTCCTTGCCACACTTGTCCAACCTCTTTCTCCTTGCTGTAGTACATACAATGTGCTACTTGGATTGGTCCTTCTTAGCTCTTGAGCATAGTCCCACAGTAGCTTATATTGCTCTGCTTCATCACCCATTACCCTTTTCATTGCTATTCTTCTAGCCCTCGCAAGCTTTGTCCTAGCTGGTGTCAGATTCCACTCTTTTTGCACTATTCTAGCATAATTCCCTAGTGTCATCTTCTTATCAGCTCTGAAAGATTCCAAGTACTTATCAGCAAGCCAATTGGATGTGCACCTCTTTAATACCCATTTCTTGTGGCAGTTGTGCTCACCACAAAAAGTCTTTATCATCATTCCATGAGCCCTCCTATCATCTGAAGCATACAAATTCCAAGGACATCCTTTCTCACATATGGCTCGCAGCCTCTTCTTCTCATTCCTTGGCATCTTAATATCCACCTTGTGCTTCATACTATATTCTGTAATAGCCTTCCTTAGCAACTCTACAGACTCAAAGATCATTCCTACTTTGAACACTGCATTGACCAAGTCTTCATGCTTGAATGACTTGAAATTGAATGTGACATTGTTTTCATCATCAAAGTTTGGAACTATTAACCCATCATCATTAGTTGAGAAATCCTCATCACCTCTGCCCACCACAACTTGAGCTCTCTTTCCCTTGGGTACCTTCTTTCCCTTGACAACTCCTTGATCAACCACTTGGTCATCAACATTATCCATGAATAGATCATCATCTTCATTAGCCAGATCATAATCACTATCTTCAAAATCCGAGTCTTCTTCACTAGAACTATACTGCACATCATCTTCATAAGTTGCATCCACATCATCAGAAATATTGTTCATGTTCTTGTTCTGCACTCCCACTCTACAGGGGCTCATAACCTTGGACAGTGAACTTATTGGGTTTGCCACAATGTCATCCCAATCCAAGCCAGCTAGAGAGTCATCATGATTAGCATACAGAACAAATGTCCTCACTCTACCTACTAGAGAGGCCATCATCAAGGTATCTGAGTCACTAAAAATCAACCTAATGCCATCTGAAATGTCTTTCCTAGGTAAAAGCCAGTACATCTTCAAATTTGGATTCTTCAGGTAGTGAAGCATGAACAACTCATTAAACCACACTGAAGACCAAGTGTCTACCTCACAATGATCAAAGCAATGAACTTGCCCACCAACATAGGCCCGATTAACTCCTGTTCCAGTAAAAATACCTCCATGATGCATCTCAACCGTGAACTCACCACTATCAGCTCCTAAAATTGGAAAGATTGCTAACAAATTAGGTCAATCCCAAACCCTAGACGAACCAAAATCATAAAAGATGGTAAACATTTGCCATTCTGATTCACAACACCATCTAACTACATTCAATGCGAAGACTAAGATTACAACGAAATGAGCTCAAGGGGATTCACTCACCATACACAGGTCGGCCTTGCCCTTTCGGCCGCAACACCGCCACCATCGTGCAGACTCACCGCGACCACCGCGGGAATCCACACGCCACCGGGCTTCGACGTCACTCCTCCACCGTGTTGGCCTCCTAACTCGCCGATGATTGCCTCCACTACCAGCTGCCCCACGCGCTCCCCACGAGTTCGTGTGACCGTGACGGCGGACTCGAAGAGGTGAAGTACTGGGAAGAGGAGGGAAAATGGAGGCTATAAAAAGAACTGGGGGGCCTCCCTGCTTATTTGCACGCCCCAAACCAGGCTCACGCCGCGGCTCACGTGCGCTTGCGCAACGCTGTCCACGCCACGTCGGCCAAAACCTTGTTCCGATGAGTTATGGACCTAAGTGGCATACTTAAACAACATTAAGGTGTCAGAAGTACGATTTGAGAGTTTGTGGACCTAAGTGGCACTCCAAGACAAGTTCAAGGGCCTACGATACATTTACCTCTATAATAATTATGCAGCCTCTCAAAATGCTCCATTCACGCATATGCATGTTTTCTTGTCTCACTCCTCAATATCAGTAGCCCCACAATATCTTGGGGCAAAATAGACCATGGAAGATATGAGCATAACAAATTCAGAATCTCACAATATATCAGTTGTCCAATGCAATGCCATTGCTACAAATTATGAGAATTTGGTGCAACACTCGCTTGCAAATCTTCCGCGACCATGTCAAGTAACTGCAGCAAATTTGTCATTTTTTTCTATCAAGCCGAAATGACTCAAGGTTGTGGAGGAACTGGAGAACTTGGGGATGCTCTCAGCTCATCCTTCATGTAACCTTTTCATCGCGCGAGGGTGTACAAGTAGTCGAGTAACATCTGTTCAGCCATACCTTGTTTTATAACACACTACTTGTTTGGATTTCACCAGAACAATTTTCCATTTTTTTTCACAAAGCTTGCTTACTTGAGCATCTCATATCATGATCATCCGATCCATCTTCAAACATTTCAGATGGAGCTTGATCAATTAAATGATCCCGCTCCGATACATTTAAGAAGGCCAAAGTTTAAACATGGTAACCTGTGAAAGCAAATTCACCAGAAATGAACAATCATGTAATACTGTAGCCATTGGTGTACACACAAAATGGTAGATTAATGCATAAAGGCCCCGTTCGCTTCGCTGAAAAAAAAGACAAAACACTGTTCCGGTTGATTTGTTGTGAGAAAAAAACATTGTTTCGGCTGAAAAAAGAAGCTGAAAAGTACGGATTATAAGATAAGCGAACATGGCCAAAATGGAATGTTGGAGAACAGGAACTACTCTGCTTGTAGTTCACCATAAATAATAATATCTTATAAATGTCAAGGGTAAATAAAGGCAGCAACCCCTCCAAATGCAATATGGGACAGTATATCAATCACATTCCCAACAAAAGAATGTACATAGAAGCAGAAAATACTGACTAAAATGCTAGTCCACATGTATCAACAGTATTTTACTTAACCGTATATCAACCTCAAAATATTTTTTAGAACAGTAATCTCAGACCAATTCAAAGGAATATTTTTAGGAGCGAACTAGTGCATAAATAGAAAACAATTGCTTGAACGATTGATTCACTATTGCATGAAATGACAATGTCACAATTAAAGCCTCTCTAAGCTAGTGCCATGAACGAATTGCACTGAAGCAAAAATACTGTGAACTCTATGAAAAACAATGGCTATAGCTGCCACTGAATTACTCTGCTCCTATCAACACACTGCACGCAAACTGCTACAACCAATACGACTTAGGCAAGTGAAATTAACTGAAGAAATAAACAAAAATTCTATGCAATCTAAAGGTGAACAGAACTCGTAAACATACAGTTTATTGTTGCTACTGCAAATGACAAGATGAACCAAAGCTAACTGCTTGTGGTTGCTACTGCTACCGAACAGAGCAGGAACAAGCTGAGCTGCTCACTTGCTTACACTGAACTGCTAATATTCATGAATTTGTACTGATGCACAAAACATAAACCGCAAATGAAAATTTTCATGCATATTCCTGTTGGCCAACAAAAATTCTGAAAAATTGGGTACACGAGGGCTAGTGAAGACTGACTTTAGACAAAACATGTGAATGCTATGTGTTCATCATGCCGTCTACTGATTTCACCAGGTAACCAGCAGTCGAGGGAGCAGGAGCAAGTGTTTGGCAAAGGGGAGAATGCTGTAGGCAACAGATGGGAGAATGTTAGTCAAAATTGAACTTCATCTTCTAAAAGTTTGGCATTATCTTAAAATCATAATTCAATTGTTTAGTATTTCTAATCTTAGCCCACAAAATAGACATGCGGTTTCATGCTGACCTGAAAACGGACTAACATTCAGGAATTTGTACTTGCTGGATTATTCATCTGACATCCAATGTTTAAGCACCAAATAGGAAGGTACTGAAGTATTGACAACTCTCTAGTTTAAATAATCCAATATCCTGGGGTTCTGAACTGATTCGATATTCAGAGATATTAGAGCCCAGAACAAGACATCATGAAAAATTAACAACATAGAGATCTCTGGGTCTTCTAAAAGCTTTTCTAACAGAAAAAATAATAATTTTAACTATAACATAACTAAAAGTTTCATGGAACAAATTCTGCTCAATATGCCATGTTCAGGAAGTTGTGCTGTGATCAAGCTGATGATTCCTTCAACTAATCCTCCTCCAAAACAACCTAAACTGGCTAGATCTAGCAGAGGGTAAACAAATGGAGAGAGAGAGAGAGAGGAAGCATGGAGGCGGATCTTAATTACATTTGCTGCTGCGGGCAGCGGGGTAGCTGCAGAGGAGCAAGTGCACTTCTGGAGATGGAAGCTGCGGCGGCTGCAGATCGTGTGTCTTGTTCCGGCGGATGCAGTGCGCCACAGCGGCTCGGGGCCTCGGTGGACGGTCGGTCTGGCGCCCGCGCTGCTCCTCGGCCGCCCAGGCGCCCGTGCCTCGCCGCTCGCTTCCCGCCTCGCCTGCCTCGCGGGCCGGCGAGATCCCGCAGCAGCACCGCCCGCCCTGAATCGAGCAGCGGCAAGATCCAGATGCCGTTGGGGCCAACTATGGGTGTGGGGAAGAAGGGGAGGGCGAGGAAGCGGGTGAGGAGGAGGAGAGGCGGGCGACGACACGTCGTCGCTCGTCGCGTCCGCGACGGCGGCAGGGCGAGACGGGAGGAGCAGGCGAGGAAATGCCAGGCCGCCAGGCGCCAGGCGAGGTGGGTGACGTGCGCCTAGCCCACCTGTCGGCAAGCACGGGGAGAGAGACGGAGCGGGGAGCACGCCGAAGTCAAGAGGCACGTGGAAGACGGTGTTGACGTCTCCTCCTGTTTCGTCTTTTTAGGAGCAGAGAATGCAGCAACAAATGTGAATAACTTGCCATACTGAGACCAAGTAAAAATCCAAATTGTCTTATATTCAGTTTCAAACCATTCTAAAGATCATGCTTAGCTATTTTGGAACTATTTTGCAAAATTTCTACAAGTTCTGAATCCCAAAATATAATGTTTTTTTTTACCCATACCTTGTTGACAACTTTGTCCCAATGCAGTAGTAGAAGCAGGAGGGCCAAACACTTCTGCTGAAGGATCAGATCTGGTTGGACACTCATCTTCAAGCAGTGAAGAGATAACTGAAGATACTTATGTTGAGAATGCAAATAGAGACCTGACCTCCAGCACTAACTCAGATGCAACTAAAGTTGATGCACTTGAAGATTATGCTAATGTAAGTTTATATTTGTCCTCTGATATTATTCAGCCTATTAGGTTGGCTGGTTCGTTTCGTTGCTGGTTCATAAAGAAGTACTGCTGGCTGGTTTGTGTGAGAGAAAAATACTGTTCCAGCTGGAAATTTACGATCGTTTACGACAAGTCACAGCCAATCGAACAGGCTGATTGACCGTAGCTCTCCTCTTCGATAAAAAAAACATGGCCTTGGGGTTGACGGCGGCGGTGTCACGGCGCAAGTCGTTAGTGGAGAGCACAGGACGAAGAGGTGGCGGGAGCCTCTGCCACCGATGGAGGCAGGGGAAGGGCCTGTGGGGCGGGGCGTGGTGGGGTGGCGAGGTGCTGAGGTCGGTGGCGGACTGGCGGCAAGCGCGAGAGTACCGGCGGGTGTGGCGTGGCATGCGGGTAGTTTTGGTTTGGTGTGCCTTTGCTGCAAGCCCTCAGAGCCTTTGTCCATCAAGACGTTTGCTGGATTCCAATAAATTCCATAGTGGAAGGCTGGAAGCCATGGCAAAAACCTAATGTTCCGCCTGGCCTAAATAATTTTTCATAATTACCTTGGGTTGGGAGCTTGGTCCATATAAATTCTGTTACTAACTTTGCAGAAGACAAAAGATAAGATCTCTATTAGTGGAGATAACCATATACTCCGTATATATAGGCCCCGCTCGCTCTGCTGAAAAAACAAGCTGAAACATTGTTCTTTGTTGTGAGTGAAAAACACTGTTCCAGCTAAAAAGACAAGCCGAAAAATACAGATTATAAGACAAATGAACAGAGCCATAGAGCCTCATAGGCTATATAGGCCTATAGAATGGGTCTTGATATACACTTAACAAATTCATCCTAAATGTTGTGTTTTTCTACGGAGTCATTACTCGTTCCGTTCTTAAAAACATATTGTTTTTAAACTTCGAGGAGGTATGGTTCTCGAGTTTGGCAAAAGGCCAAATAATTGGCTGCCCTGCCACAAGAGGAGTGTTAGCAAACTGCCTTTAATTTTTTTATTAGAATTTTGTTTGTTTATGCAAATAGAGATGATAGACGGTGTTTTTCAGCAGTTATAGGAGTATAGATGATTCCTCAAAGAAAAAAATAGAGATAAGATTATACATAAAAAGGAGGTGAAATTTTCACGTTTCACAATTTATCTATGGGCCCATCGGCATGTTTTTTTTACCAAAAACATTGTCATCTGCTTAATATACACTTAACACAATTTATCTGTGGTCTTGATATACACTTAACAAATTCATCGTAAATGTTTGTTTTAGTAGATTTTGATCCCTAGGCTTAATTGCAAACACACCTAGGGTCTAGAAAGTTGTACCAACAGATTTTTTTAAAAAAAATAACATTGAAATCTGCAGCTTTTCTAGTTTTATTCAACCCAAAGAAATGTAAACATTTTAACCTAATTATGTATCAACATCTAGATACTTCCCTTATTAGAGTAAGTGATGTATCATGAGCTCATTCCTCAAATTTATTGTAATGACTTCATTCTGCATACTAGTGTTAATTATAAGCTTATGAGAAATGAGATGGTGATGCATCAGCTCATTTCATTCCACAAACCAAATAAAAATTTAAAGAGTGGGTCAATGATGGACTACCTCATTCCACAGACAAAACACCGTATTAGAATTTTGTATCTTCTTTTCTTTTAATAATCGTGTACTTCTTCTAACGAAAAAGGCAAATCTCTTGCTGCCTTGCGGGAAAAAACATGCATCATGTACGCATCTTAAACTGCCATTCAGCTACTAAAACGCCTGTTTCTTCTTCAGCCAAACATAAATGGAGAGCCAAAATTACAAGATTGTGAACATCATGCCAGATCAATTAAGTACCGCTCGTCTTCATCCATCTCAAGTGGATCGATACCATCAGCTTCCTCGTCAGGCACCTCAACACTTGACTCAAATTTCAAAACAGAAGGTACCACAATTCAAGCACTCTATATTACTGGTGCTGACGATTGATGAGGAGTTCTTGTATACTCCATCCGTCCCAAATTATAAGTTATTCTAACTTTCTTGGAGAGTCAAAGTATTTCAAGTTTGATTACAAAGATTTATGATATCAAATATGTATAGTATGAAAATATAATTAATGAAGATCTAATGATACTTATTTGGTATCATAAATGTTATTATTTTATTATATGAATTTGGTCAGACTTGATATACTTTGTCTCTCTAAGAAAGTTGAAATGACTTATAATTTAGGATAGAGGGAGTAGTTAAATTTAAACTAAACCTAGGACCACCACGCTTGTTCAAGAACCAGTAAGGATCATATTGTTTTACTGTGTAGTTTGGTACCTGGTTCTGGTTGGATAAACCTAAATAAAAGGATTGCATTTTTGCTCCACTTCCTTTTTCAGAGACCTATTATCGGTCACCAACTAATTTATCAACCGCAGTACCTGAACTAGCAACATTTTTCCTCTGTGGGATTATCTCATAAAAGCTCAATTAGAAAGCTCAGTTGGTACAAACAAAATATTGATTGGCACATTTTGGTTTTTGAATATAGAATGCACATGGTTAATATAGTATGTAAACTAGACATATTTATTTACTATAGTAGTGAGTACATTGGGACATCCTTATTGTTGGGTAGCCAAAGATTATAACATCACCTTCCCAGGATTGACATCTCATTGAAGTATAATTGGACATAACCTGGCAGGCCCTGTGACACATTGCAAAGAGGATGAGATCTCCGTGCTTGGTTGATGGCATGCATCAAGTGTCTTAAGGAGAAATGGGAGGGACAGGGATTGGCATCACATAGATTCCAATAAACGAAACGAACCACGCAAACCGCAAAGATTTGATTATCTGAAAACAGGAAATACGGTCATAATAAGATGGGTGCTATTGAAACGACAGGTAGCAAGAAAATGAGAACATGAGTGATTAAGCAATTCTGCAGCTGCTGAGAACGAGCTCTAGCTCGGTTGGCATGCGGTTCAGTGAAGCCTCTCAACGTGTGGTGCCACAAGGGGACTGTGACGTTCCCGTCGCCTACAGAACCTTCGTGTGTGTGGTGTAGGTGTGTGTTTGTATGCGAACAGATGCTACAGCTGTATCCAGATGAGATGAGAGGTGTAAAAAAAAAAACTGCAGCTGCTACATTAGCCTATCGCCCTTGGCATAATTTCAGTTGATATTTTCCATAGCTTGAATAATATTGTACAAGTGATAATTATTGTACATATACGATCCATCGTGCACTCCCACCAGTTTCACTAGAGTTAAGATATCTTTTGTTTTTCCTCGCCTAAGAGTTGAAGACCTATTCACTGTTCAGAGAGTTGGGGTCCTCCTCATTTATGGCTCCTTCTGCCATTCTCTATGAACTATGATAGGACAAATTCCCTGTATATACAATTGTATAATGTATATTTATAACATTGCAGGATAAGCAGTACCAGAGCTCTTGTACATGAATTTTTTTTAAGTAATTTCCTTTGGCGAATGGTGAAGTTAACTGTGTGTGTGTAAAAAATATCTGTCATTCGTTGTGTTCACTTGAATGGGTTATTCTTGTTGCATCTCATTGTTTCGTTTGTTGGAGGTCAGAGCTAGGCAAGATTACCTTCGTCGTACACTTTCGGATCCTGCTGTTGTCGAGTTGTTTGCTTGTGCTAGTGATTTTTACAGTTGGCTGGAGATTTGTTAATCTCCTAGACGAAATTGGAGCACAGAGATTTTTTTTCTTTCTAGTTTTTTTTCAGTACTGGAATGCTCAGATATTTTGAGGTAACCCTTGTGTGTATTATGACCTCAAATTTGTAACATGTATCATACTAACTCGTAATCTACATGTATGTTGCTATGATTATGGTCGATGCGTTCATCATCGTGGCATCCAGTTGAATTCCTAGAAAATCACTGAACCGTGATTGCCTAATATAATGAGGGATTAATCGAGTAAAGAATGAAAAACTCTGGCGATTAGTTGAATGAAGCTGAAGAATCAATGCAAGTGTTCTGAATCAGCAGCCGTGCTCAGGCCAAGCAACGACCATGCATCAATCAATAGGGCCTGGAAGAATCATGATACGGCTACGAGCGGCGCGCTCCGGGCCGCGGCGGCAGGTCCCGGTGTCCCCCGGCCCCCTGCTGCAGGGCCTCGATGTCCTCGAGCGCGGCGACGACGCCGTCCATGTCGGGGCGGCTCTTGGGGTCGCCGGTGAGGCACTTGCCGGCGAGCCTGGCGGCCCGGAGCGCGGCCTTGGTGTGGTACTGGCCGTCGATCCGCTGGTCCATGAGGCTCTTGAGCTTGCTGGCGCCGGAGAGGTAGGGTTTAGCCCACTCCACCAGGTTGTGCTGGTGGCTCGGCCGGTTCAGGTCGTGCGCGCGCAGCCCCGTCAGCAGCTCCAGCAGCACCACACCGAAGCCGTACACGTCGCTCTTCACGTACAGGTGCCCTGCATTGCATGCATCCATGTCGGTCAACGTACGTGATGAGCGCCTGGTGGCGCCGCGCCATTGCCGTCGTCGTGCTCGTGCAGGTGCAAACACCTACATACCGGTGGCGACGTACTCCGGCGCCGCGTAGCCGTAGGTGCCGACGATCCGGGTCGTCACGTGCGACTTCCCGGCGGAGGGCCCGTTCTTGGCGAGCCCGAAGTCCGACAGCTTCGCGGTGAAATCCTGAAAACATTCGCACGTCTGTGGTCAGTGAACATGGTAGCCAAGGAGAAGACCTACCTATGCACATGCTTGCTTTTGAAGAAGATGTACCGAGTCGAGGAGGATGTTGGACGCCTTGAAGTCCCTGTAGATGACCTGCTTCTCCGACGAGTGCAGGAAGGCGAGGCCGCGCGCCGCGCCCGTGGCGATCTTGAGCCTCCGGCTCCACGACAGCGCCTCCAAGTTTCCACCCCCTGCTCAGACAGACATTTTCAGTTTTTGACTCCCAGTAAGTCAGACTGCAGGACGCTCAATCTCATACAGGGTACCATGTGGCGTCGCCATTGCCAAAACTTGTAATTTAATCTGACCATGAACAGCATGCATGACTTGTACAAGCGACTTGCTCAAACTGTCAAACTTGGGCGCCTATGTATCCAAAAGTCAAATGCGATTCTAGAAGGCAAAGGTCAGACAAAATTCATGCATGCATTTTCAAACTATGTTAGGCGACCGGGAACACACTCCCCAGAAGTAAAACCATACTCTACCATTGCAGTTCGTCAATCGTATAGAAGTAAACTGAGTGGACCGGCAGGTTTATTGCCAATCAGAATCTGCTGAAAAGTAGAATGCCAAACTGACATTGTTGGCGGTGGCAGGCTGCTTACTTCTGAAGAGATGGTTTTCCAGGCTGCCTTTGGACATGAACTCGTACACCAGGAGCAGCTCCCTGTCCTCGCCGCAGTAGCCAAGCAGCCTCACCAGGTTGGGATGCGACAGTCTACCCAGGAAGTTGACCTCCGACTGCACTTGCCAACACAAGGAATAACATATGCACACATCAGAGACGCCACTGGCACGCCGGTATGATGAACTCACAAGTCACACTACATTAGCACACTGATTGGTACTGCATGTTCTCAAATGGTCATGGACTCATGCAGGAACATCACAGAGATACATTGTACCAAGGATGGCATGATGGATTTTGTATGGGGAAACTAAACCAAGAGGAGTAGAAAAATGCAACTTCATGGCCAGCTGGGGGCCGGCAGAAACTACAAGAGTTGACTTGTACAGTGTTCCACGAAGATTTCATCAGGATTCTAAAGAAAAGACGCGATTTCATCAAACAAAACGAAAGAAGGGGGGAGATTTTTCCATGTTTTAGAAGCACACAAACACTGATGGAATGGAACGAACATCCAGACGAACAAATGGTGCAGAATCGATCAAGAGGCGATCGATGGATGGGATGGGATGGGATGGATCACCTGCCACTCCTGCAGGCCCTGGACGCTCTCCGGGTTGAGCTTCTTGACGGCGACGATGACGCCGGCGTTGCTCTTGGCCGGGTTGAGCGTGCGCTCGTCAACCCAGCCCTTGTAGACCCGGCCGAAGCCGCCCTCCCCGAGCACCATCTCCGGCTTGAACCCGCGCGTGGCCTGCCGCAGCTCGGCCAGCGTGAATTTCCTCAGCCTCGGCGCTTCCAGAACACGCCCGGGCCCCGGGCACGGATCAGGATCGTCTCCTCCTCTCGTCTCTTGCTTCGCCCCGCCGCCGCCGTCGCTCGGCTTCGTCGGCGGCGGCCGCGGCCCTGCACGTGCACAAGCCAGCAACGATGAGACGTCGGTCGGACCATCACGGCGGCCGGCGTCGTGGACGAGCCGGAGAACTTGATCGGAGCTAGCGTGCGAGCAAACCTTACCTTTGGTAGGAGGACGACTCGGCGGCTTCGCGTCGGCGTCAGCGGAGCCGCAGTAGTTCCCCATGGCGTACGGTACGGTGCCGAGCTACCAACCAACCAACCACGCGCTCCTCTCTTCCTCCTCGCTGATCTCAACGCGCGCGCGGGCGTGTATGTGCTCTTGTGCTGCTGCTGCGCGTTCTCAGACGGTGTGTGCTGCTACTAATCAGGAGAGGAGAGGAGAGGAGAGGACAAGGGACGTGGACAGCGTGGTGGGAACGGAGAGGAAAATATCAAAGAAAGGAGGGATGGAAGTCCAGCAAGGAGATGGCGCGCCAACTCCAAGGCAAGGCAGACGACATGCGGCGCTGCTATCTGGTCATGGCGTGGGCTTGGTCTACGGAGGACAAGTGCACAATAGACCCACACCATTGTCGGAGCTTCAACTGTGAGGTCATTCTTGGCACTTGTACGCTCCTGGACTCGGTCCGCGCAAGTGTTTCCTTACTTCGTCCACGCTAAGAATGCGCTGTTTGTAATTTGCAAAGCTGGACGCCCGTCCATTCACTGAAAAGTGGGCGCCACGCTCCACGCGGTCTACTTGTCAGTAGATTGTGGAACCGATTAGCCGAGTAGGTAGGTGGTG